TCAGCTCAAGGCTAGTGCTCTACCACTTGAGCCACAGCGCCACTTCCGGCTTTTTTCTTTTTTCTTATGTGGTGCTGAGGAATTGAAGCCAGGGCCTCAAGCATGCAAGGCAAACACTCTACCACTGAGCCACCTTCCCAGTCCCAGTACCATTTTTTTTAAAAAGCTATTAAGCTGGGCGATGGTGGCTCATGCCTGTAATCCTAGCTACTCAGGAGGCTGAGATCTGAGGATTGTGGTTCAAAGCCAGCCCGGGCAGGAAAGTCCGTGAGACTCTTATCTCCAATAAACCACTAGAAAACTGGAAGTGGCACTGTGGCTCAAGCGGTAGAGCACTTGCCTTGAGCTAAAGAGCGCAGGGACAGCGTCCACGCCCAGAGTTCAAACCCCATGACCGACAAAAACAAAAACAAAAAAAAGCTATGGATGAAAAGTGACCAAAAGAAATATTAAGTCTATAATACCAGCTACTCGAGAAAATGAGATCTGGGGCTGGTAATGTCGCTTAGTGGTAGAGTGCTTGCCTAGCATGAATGAAGCACAGTACCACAGAAACAGAAAAAGCTGGAAATGGTGCTGTGGTTCAAGTGGTAGAGTGCTAGTCTTGAACAAAAACAGCTCAGAAACAGTGCCCAGACCCTGAGTTCAAGCCACAGGACTGGCAAAAAAAAAAGAAAAGAAAATGAGATCTGAAGATTGGGTTCAAAGCCAGCCTGGGGAAAACAACAAATCAGAGAGACTCTTAACTCCAATTCACCAGCAAAAAGCCAGAAGTAGAAGCATGGCTCAAATGACTCACAGCAACAATTGGGAGTAAAACCTCCAGATCTTGAATACACTGTATATGTACACACATACACACACATACACACACACACACACATTAAAATACTATGTGAAGCTTAAACTCATAAACTTTGGCATCATATGGACAAAAGACAAAATTATAACTTTTTCTTTGTGTCCTTAAGTCACTTAAATTCTGTGAGTCTCAGTTCATTAGTACAATGGTGACACTGATGAAATCTATCTATCATTTATGGAACCATCTGAACACTTACTGACCACAATGAATGTTACCAATCAAACATTATTGCTGTCTCCCTTGAATTTTCAGGGCTCTAGTATGTGAGAAGGGCACTTGGGAAAGAGCAATTGCTGCTGTCACTTCTGTCCATGACAGATCTTAGCTTGATGGGACAGGATCCTGTGCCGTTTGTGTTGTGGAGGGTAATGTGGCTTCACGCTAACCCCAGAGGCCCAGGCCCCACCTACTGAGATCAAACTCCTAGGATTTAATTTCAAATTGAGTCCAAGTACCTCATTTCCTTCCATCCCAAAACATACTTCAACCCTTCAGGGCAGGGGGAGAAAAGGCAAAGAAAAAAGATGCACAAGCCCATTAGGGATCAGAAACAAAATACAAAATCAAACCAGAATGAAGTGCCATTTTACACCTACCCATCTGGCTGTGCCATCAGTTGGCAAGGATGTGAATTTCTGGGAATGTAAATTGGCACCTCTTTGTAAAGCAGTTTGGCAATGTCTACTAAAATTGAAACTCATATACCCTATGACTCAGCAAATGCACACCCAAGTTTACCCCTATAAACACTCTCCATGTATACACAAGGAATTCCAGAATATTTGTACCAGTCCTGCCTAACGTGGTAGCTCATGCCTTTAATCCCAGCACTGAGGCAGGAGGATCAAGAGTTCAAGACCAGCCTGGACTGCATAATGAGTTTGAGGTAAGACTGGGTTATATAATGAGGCTCTCTCTCCAAAAGCCAAAACAAACAAAAGAATATTTACTCTGGCCTTTAGCATCTAAAACCAGAGAATGGGTAGGTGAATTGTGATATATATATATATATATATATATTTTTTTTTTTTTTTTGGGTCCGGTCATGGGCCTGAACTCTGGGCCTGGGCGCTGTCCCTCAGCTCTTCAGCTCAAGGCTAGTGCTCTACCACTTGAGCCACAGCGCCACTTCTGGCTTTTTTCTTTTTGCTTATGTGGTGCTGAGGAATCGAACCCAGGGCCTTGAGCATGCAAGGCAACCGCTCTACCACTGAGCCACCTTCCCAGCCCAGTGATATATATTTTTTAAATGGAATGTTTCTAAACAGTGAAAATGGCTGCACCATTAGTAAATCTTATTCATGTGGTGAGTAACAAAAGCAGGGCTGGGCATGGTGGCCGAAGCCTTTAACCCTAGCTACTTGGGAAGCAGAGATTGGGGGAATCTTGGTTCTAGACCAGCCTGACAAAAAAGAGTTTGAAAAACCCCAGCAATACAGGAAACAAAAATAGCGGGATCATAGCCCTGGCAGGCCCGGGTATAAAGCAAGACCCAACCATGAAAATGATCAAGAGAAAAGAGAGCTTGGGAGGTGTGTGTGGTTCAAGACTATTTGCCTAGCCAAATAGTCACATTCTTTTACCTGACCAGACCACTTTGATGAGCTGCCAAAAAAAAAAAAAAAAAACTTTGATGCTATTCCTTCATATCAACTTTTTAAAAGTTCCTTGCAGGGCTGGGAAGGTGGCTCAATGGTAGTTCTTGCCTCGAATGCATGAGGCCCTGGGTTCAATTCCTTAGCATCACATATACAGAAAAAGCTGGAAGTGGGCACTGTGTCTCGAGTGGTAAAGCACTAGCCTTGAGCTGAAGAGCTCAGGGACAGAGCCCAGGCCCAGAGTTCAAGCTCCACAACTGACAAAAAAAAAAAAAAAAGTTCCTTGCAGCAATTTTATAAATATTCAGTTCAGGCTGGGCATTAGTGGTTCACATCTATAATCCTAGCTACTCAGGAGGCTGAGATCTGAGGAATCACAGGTCAAAGCCAGCTCAGGCAGGAAAGTCCTTGAGACTCTTATCTCCAATTAACCACCAGAAAAAAACAGAAGTAGCGCTGTCAAGTGGTAGAGTGCTAGCCTTGAGCTGAAGAGCTCAGGGACAGGCCCAGGCCCAGAGTTCAAGCCCTAGGAATGACAAAAAAATAAAAACAAAAAAAAATTGGGGGCTGGGAAGGTGGCTCAGTGGTAGAGCGCTTGCCTTGCATGCCTGAGGCCCTGGGTTCGATTCCTCAGCACCACATAAGAAAAAAGCTGGAAGTGGCGCTGTGGCTGAAGTGGTAGAGCGCTAGCCTTGAGCTGAAGAGCTGAGAGACAGCACCCAGGCCGAGTTCAGGCCCCATGACCGGACCCAAAAAAAATTTTTTTAAAATTGTTTATAGAGTGGGAAGCTGATATATGTGTGTGTGTGTGTATTTATATGTACACCTGATATAAGTATACCTGATGAATGTTCAGGATTTGCCCCAGCTTCCACTGTAAAATCAACTCTTTCTCCTGGGAGAAGAACATAAGGTGAAAATTAAAATCACACAGTCAATGCCTGACCCAGTCTGCTGGAGTTTAGGCTCTTGTGAGTAGCTAGGATTACAGGCATGGGCTATTGCACGTAGGCTTGAACTGGGAGCCTAAGAGCTGACCCTGAGCTTTTGTGCTCAAAGCTAGCACTCTACCACTTGAGCCACAGCATCACTCCGGTTTCCTGATGGCTAATTGGAGATAAGAGTCTCACAGACTTTCCTGCCTAGCTGAGCTCTGAACCACAATCCTCAGATCTCATGCTCCCGAGCAGCCAGGATTACATGCGGGAGCCACCAGAGCCCATCTAAAATTTTATTTTTATTTTTTATTTACTTGTTTGCTTGTTTATTTTGGGCAGTTGTGAGGTTTGAACTCAGGACCTGGGTGCTGTCCCTGAGCTCTTTTGCTCAAGGCTAGTGCTCTACCACTTGAGTCACAGTGCCACTTCCAGTTTTTCTGGTGGTTTATTGAAGATAAGAGTCTCAAGGACTTCCCTGCCTGGGCTGGCTTTGAAACCTCCTCAGCCTCCTGAGTAGCTGGGATTACAGGCGTGAGCCACTGGCACCCAGCTAGTGCTTTACCTCTTTAAGCCATAGCTCCATTTCTGGTTTCTGAGTGGTTAATTGGAGATCAGTCTCACTGGGACTTTTCTGTTTGGCCTGGCTTTGAATTTCAGTCCTCAGATCTCAGCCTCCTCAGTGGCTAGGATTACAGGCGTGAGCCATTAGTACCTGGCAAGAGAATTTTTTTTAAATTACTATATAGTACTCCACAGTAGTCCACAGTATGGATTATCACCGTTTGGGTGGGGGGAGGGTGATTTTCAAATTTCTCTACTTGCTTTCTAGAGTAGGAACCACATTTCTTATTGCAATATAAACTTAAACACTTACATACACACACAAACACAAATCAAATACCCATAGACAATAATGCTTACTGAAGGTCATACTCTGGAAAAGTCTTGTTCTAGTTCATTTCTTAAAAGCATATTATTTATGACCTGTTATATGGTTCTCATTGCCCACTAATAGATTATGATATCAGTTTGAAAAATATTGCTTTATGTAACCAACTTTACTGAGGTTTATATAAATTGTTCATAATTCTATTACACATAATGATTCCTTCTCACTCATTCACTGGTGACTATTTCTGAGTACAAGATTCCCCCAATTGTGAAATTGCTCTGTATTTAAAATGCTGACAAAAAATATAGTCAATTGTACTGGAAAACTAGGTTCTAATCCTGGATCTGTCACCAGGATGATGATAAATTTGGGACAAGTCCCTATACCTCTTGGGGCCTCAGTTTCCCCATCAGTCACCTGCTGATCTCTACACCCTCCTGTCCATTCTAAATTGAAAGTAGAAGCCCCACCCCTTGACTCAGCCGCAACAGGGACTCCTCAGCAAGCCACCCTCCCCCTTTTCCTTTCCCAGTTCCTCAGAAACAGCCTAGGGAAAAGGGAAAAAAGGCAGGTCTGGGCAGGAGAGTGCAATTCTGGGCGGGGCCGAGGGAGGGCTGGAGGGAGGCCGGCCCCCTAGTAGGAAATGAGACACATAGAAAAAACACTTTAAAAGCCTGACACCCTCTTCCTCCTCCCATACCCTGACCTCTTTCCATCCTCCTAGGCTCAGCTCTCAGCCCTCCTGGACAGCCTCATTTCTTAGCCTGCGGGAACCAGGAACCCAGGTGGGATCAAAAAACTTCAGCTCCACGATGGTGACAACCTTACTTCATTTGCTGCCGGCATTGTTGCTGCTGCTGCCTGACTGGGCCCTTTGTAGCCAGGAAGACTCAGATGGTGAGTTTGGCACAAGTCTCCTACCCAGGGTTGCTTCTGGAGACTCTCAAATTTATCTGGGTATTTGGGCAAGAATAGAGTGGGGCTAATCCCACAGCATCTGTGTCTGCAGCTGGCTGGATCTCTCTGGAGCATAGGCATCGGTTTGTGTCCCAAAGCCAGGAAGTCCAGTTAATTCTCAGGGAAGGAGGAGGGAGTGATGCTGTGGAGAGCAGAAGGACTGGAAAAGTAAGAAAAAGACCAGAAGAGAGACTAAGAGAATCAGCACCCGAGAGAGGGGGCCAGATAAAGTGAAGAGAGAGAAGGAGAGCTGAGGGTGATGAGAAGATCATGGAAGAGCAGAAGAGATTTAGAGATAGGAGAGATCAAAGGAATGACATGACTAGGAGAACCCCTAAAAGACAGTAACTGAGACAGGTGCTGCAGAAGGGGAGATAGGGAAAATGGGGTACCTAGGGACTGCTGGAGAGGTAGATATTGGGGGAAAGAGAAGCTGTGGCCAATAGCACAGCTCACTTGGGATCAGGCTGCATTTAGGTAGAAAAGTGGCATTATTTGGTGCATTATCAGTGTACGGGGTCTCCTCTCTCCCACTGTTACTATAGCTTTAGCCTCCCCCTTAGAGAGGGAGCAATTATCACCCCGTATTAAATATTTATTTAATACTCTATTAAATCTATTAATACTCTATTAATTTTGCCACATATTACCCCACAAGGTGAGTAATATTATTCTATCCATTTTTTACAAAATAAAACAGTTAAGGACAATGTCTAAAGTTACTCACACTGACATCCTGATTCACTCCTGCAGATGCAAGCACAGGCAACACACACACACACACACACACACACACAGATTTACAAGCTCATACTCATTCAAACATTCTCTGGGTACTAGCACTGTGCCAGGCCTTTTTCTGGGTGTGGAAAGAATAGATAACCAGACTTGATTTCCTAGCCTTATGTATTTACAGAAATGTAGAATCCTATGACGTATATGCTAATGTAGAGTGGTCTGGGATCACTAAAATACATCCAAGTGGCCAGGAGAGCAGGAGAGACATCAGGAAAAGTCTTGCAGGAGAGGGAAACTGAAGGGAGAGGTACCTGTCCTGGGGTTTCAACTCAGGGCCCGGGCACTGTCCCTGAGCTTCACTTCTGGCTTTTTGGTGGTTAATTGAGAATAAGAGTATCATGGAGTTTCCTTCCCAGGCTGATTAGAGCTTTGAACTGCAAACCTCAGATCTCAGTCTCCTGAGCAGCTAGGATTACAGTTGTGAGCCACTAGCACCCAGCTTGAGATGGGGTCTTGAAGCATGTCTAGAAATGTGCAAGGCCGAACAAGGGAGACAGTGCAACCCTTATGTGCGATTCACATGTCAGCCAAAAGTCAGCATAAGGAATCCCCAGTAGCGTGATATTTTTAAGCAATGAGAACATCCCAGACAGTGTAGCAGGCCACTGGCAACCTTAAATCTCAGGCTAAATCCTGAGGACAGGTAACCTATGAGGAGGCAGCACACAGCCTGGCTATATGTGCTGGACTTGGGCTACCTGCACTCAAACCCTGGCTCTGCTATGTCATCTTAGCTTCTGTTTGCAAATACACTGGTTAATAATAGTAGCTGCTACATTAAGCTATGGGGAAGAAGGCACAACTAAACTATGTGTGCAGCCCACAGGACCTAGGTCATAATAAGCACTTAATAGATACTATTATTATTTTCGATTGAGTGGAAGAGGGGCATGCCATTGGAGGACTCTGGGGAGAACTAGATCTTAGTCTTGGGTGTTTTTGGTTGAAGGCCCATTAGAGAGGTTGAAACTGACAATGAAGGCTATGGAAAGAAAAGGCAGGACCAAGGTTCCCCAGGCCAGGCCCGAACTAGGGAAATGGCAGAAGAAGGATGGAATAGGAGCTGGAACTGGGATCGTATTGTAAAGGGGACCAGTCAGAAAAGGGGAGAAGGAGAGAAAGGAGACAGAGTGTCTCCTCCAATTGCAGGTCTCCGTTTCCGCATCTGTAAAATGAAGATAATAATGCCTGCCCTCGCCTCCTGGCAGGGTTACTGTGAGCATGATCTAAGAGGAAAAGTGGGAGGGCACTTTATGGGGTCAAGAAGGTGGGAGGCTGGCCTCTGGGCAGGGGGTCATTATCTCCCGCTGCCAGCCACCCCCTCCTACTCCCCTGCCCCTGACGCGATGACTCTGCTCCCCCCCCCCCAGGTCCTCAGAGCCTCCACATGCTCCACATCTCCTACTTCCCCGACCCCTCTCACGTGCGGCACCAGGGCAACGCGACCCTGGGGGGGCGTCTGACACACACTCTGGAAGGCTCTGGTTCCAACATCACCATCCTACAGCTGCAGCCCCTGGAGGAGCCTGAGAGCTGGGCCCGCAGGGAGAGCAGACTGAAGGTTTACCTGACCCAGTTCCGAGCCCTCGTGCAGCTGGTGCAGCAAGAACGGAAGGGCAGTGTTGCCTGTGAGTGGTGGAGAACACCTTCCCCCCTCGCCCCTGCCTCCCCCTGCCCCACACAGCCCCCTCCCAGCTGGAATGGTGGAAGCAGGCCCTGGTGAGAGGGGGCGGAGCCTGTGAGGGGACTTGGGCGGGGCCTTATGGAAGGGCTGGGTGGAGAGCCAGTGGGTGAGCACGGTCCCTGGTGGAGGTGACCCGTGGAGCTCCTGGGGCCCTGGGCCCTTGGATTGCTGGGTGGAGCTGGAGAACGGTGGGAGTCTTCTATCAGATTCTTCACACTGGTATGGCTTGCTTACTCAGGCGAACCCTGTTGGGAGGCCCTGTCTGACCCCTCCAAAGTGTCAGTCCCCAGCCCTGGCCTCACACCCAGCTCCTGTCCCTCACAGACCCCCCTCCTTCCTTCCACACAACCCCCAGCACTTTCCCCTCAACTCTCCAGTGGTTCTCACAGTTGCTGATGATGGCTTTGCTCTTAACAACCCCAACTAGCTGTTTTCAAAGACCCTAATTTTACCCCCTCCCCTTATAGCCACTATTCCTTTCTCCCATAGTCCTCCTTTTTCTTCATCATCCTTGGCCTCTCCTTGCCCAGCCCCCAACCATCTAACTCTAGATTCCTCCCCACTGTCCCCTTTCCTCCAGGCCTTCCTCCCACAGCCTTTCCCAAGGTGAGCAGCTCCCCCACCATACCTGCCCCTGGATCCTTCTCCACAGAACCCTGACCCTGAATCCCCCCTCCACAGTTCCTCTCACCATCAGCTGCTTCCTGGGCTGTGAGCTGCCTCCTGAGGGCTCCAGTGCCCATGTGTACTTCAACGTGGAAGTGAATGGGAGTTCCTTTGTGAGTTTCAAGCCAGAAACAGCCTTGTGGGTAGCAGGTCCCCAGGACCCCTCAAAGGTGCTCACCTACACCCTCCAGCAGCTCAATGCCTACAATCGGACTCGGTATGAAATGCAAGAATTCCTGCAAGACACCTGCGTGCAGTATGTGGAGAAGCACTCGGCCATGCCAGATGAGAAAGGTACGATGGATGGCACTCATGCCAGGCCTGAGTGTTGGGAAGGGGAAAGTCCCAGGCAAATGGAGGGGCTGAAGGATGCATATCTTGAGTAACAAGAGGCCCCGGGCTGGGGGTTGGAAAACAAGGTACACAGCTTGAGTCCCTGAGTGAATTGGCCCCTTTCCTTTGAGGACTAACTCAAACTGTGGACTTCCTTGGGGCGTGTTCTTAGGCTAATCCTCTGCGTGTTCTTCAGGGAGCCAAACAGGACGCTCCTACACTTCGCTGGTCCTGGGTGTACTGATGGGCTGTTTCATCATTGCTGGTGTGGCTGTGGGCATCTTCCTGTGCACAGGTGGACGGCGCTGTTAATTACACCCAAGTTCTTTCTTAAGAAAGGGCTGGATTGATGGGCTGGCAAGGGATAAGTCTCAGCTCACAGAAAGCCAAACAGACTCTCCAGCTGGGACACCGTATCACTAAAAGGTTTGAAGTGAAAGTTCTTTTCCTCTCCCAGATCCGCTCACCAAGAGTTTAGGAGAGGAGACACAGGGATACTAGGTAGATAAAGAAACTTGGTTTGCTAAGAATCTAAGAACTTTGTATGTGCTGCTGAATTGGCTTGAAAACTGAATGCGTATCTATCTTTGTGGAAAACAGATGGTGAAGGTGGGCATGGGGCATTTACAAAGACAGAATCACCTGAAGCATTCAAAACATATAGTAATAATAATAAAAAACTAAGTTGTTCAAAACCAAAATAAACAACATTTAGTACTTCCCTATGTGTTTGAGTTAAGAAGTGATGCTGGTATAAATTGGGGGAGAAGATCACCAGGCGCTGGTGTCTCATGCTTGTAATCCTGGCTGCTCAGGAGGCTGAAATCTGAGAAGCATGGTTTCAAGCTAGCCTAGGTAGACAAAACTTGAACACTCTTATCTCCAAATAACCAGCAAAAAAAGCCAGAAGTGGAGGTGTGGCTCAAGTGGTAGAGTACTAGCCTGCAAAAAAAAAAAAAAAAAAACAAGAAGGGCAACAGTCACTCATGCTCATAATCCTGGCTACTCAGGAGGCTAAGATCTGAGGAATATGGTTCGAAGCCAGCCCAGGCAGGAAAGTCCGTGAGACTCTTATCTTTGATTAACCCCCAGAAAATGGGAAGTGGAGCTGTGGCTCAAAGTGGTAGAGCACCAGCTTTGAACAAAAATGAGCTTTGGGACAGCTCCCAGGCCCTGAGTACAAGCCCCACAATGACAACAACAAACAAGCAAGAACTTGAGGCCCTAAGTTCAAGCCCCAGTATCAATGCACATGTGCTCATGCACACGCACGCAGAGCAAGAAAATGACCAGAGAAATGGGTGGAAGTGTAAAATCCAAATCTAAATAATATGGAAGATATGAGCTATTAATTGATCAATTAAGTATTAAATTTCTTACTTATGTAAAAAGCATAATTATTTCTCTTATGTTGCAAATTATTTCTCTTATGTTATGCTGAAGAAGTGCCCTATATCCTTTGCTTCTATTTCCTCATCCCACTCTTATTCTTCAACGCACTACAGTCTGACTTCTGTATAGATCTGCAACCTGTAATTATCCAGCTTACATCCTCCATGACATCTGTAATGTTTAACTATGTGTCCTAGAACCCTCATTTTACCCTTCCTTCTGAGATATCATGCTTCTAATTTATAAAAACTATTCTGGCCACTCTTTTTCAATCTTTTTGACTATTTAAACTTATTCATCCTGTAAATACTGCCTTCTTTCCAATGTCTTTTTTTTCTTTTTCTTTTGCTTCTGTAGTTTTTCCTAGGTATATCCTTTCTAGATGATCTGGCTTCCATGGCTCCAAGTATCATTAATTTGTGAAGATTGATGTGAAGAAGCAACGTTATTTTATTTTTTAATAACACATATTTTGGGCTGGGAAGGTGGCTCAGTGGTAGAGCGCTTGCCTTGTATGCATGAGGCCCTGGGTTCGATTCCTCAGCACCACATAAGCAAAAAGAAAAAAGCCGGAAGTGGTGCTGTGGCTCAAGTGGTAGAGTGCTAGCCTTGAGCTGAAGAGCTGAAGGACAGCGCCCAGGCCCAGAGTTCAGGCCCCACGACCAGAACACCCCCCCCAAATAAAAAAAAAAAAAAAGAAGTACAGTGCCTGCCTGGAAAAGTACAAGGCTGTGACTTCAATGCCTCATAATGAAAGAGAAAGGACGGAGAGGGAGGGAGGGAAAACGTGTTTTGTCATTAGACTTGAGATTTGCTTCTTTGAGCCAAGCATTTAGCTTTTCCAGGCCTGTTTATTCATTCACAGAACAAATAATAAATAATAATAAAATAATAAAAAAGATGTGAGAAAATGGTAACGCCTATCTCATAGAGGCATTATAAATATTAGATAAAGTAATACATTAAAATAACACATGTAGCCGGGCGCTGGTGGCTCACACCTGTAATCCTAGCTACTCAGGAGGCTGAGATCTGAGGATTGAGGTTCAAAGCCAGCCCAGGCAGGAGAGACCGTGAGACTCCTATCTCCAATAAACCACCAGAAAACCGGAAGTGGCGCTGTAGCTCAAGTGGTAGAGCGCTCGCCTTGAGCTGAAGAGCTGAAGGACAACGCCCAGGCCCAGAGTTCAAGCCCCAAAACCGACAAAATAAATAAATAAATAAATAAATAAAATAACACATGTATAGTTGATTAATACAACAGTGACTGCAGACCTTCAAGCCTCCCATTCGCATTAATTTTTCCTCATTTTGTGATTCTAGAGATCAAACTCAGGTCCTCACAAAGGCTAGGCTTTGAGCTATGTGTCTCCAGCTCTGTGCTGATTTTTTGTTTTTGTAGTAATCCTGGGACTTGAACTCAGAGCCTGGCACTACCTTGAGCTTCTTTTGCTCAAGGCTAGTTTGAGCCACAGTTCCACTTATGGATATTTTGAGGCTTTTTTTTGTTGGTCCTGGGGCCTGAACTCTGGGCCTGGGCATTGTTCCTCAGCTCTTGAGCTCGAGGCTAGTGCTCAACCACTTGAGTCATAGCGCCACTTCCGGCTTTTTCTGCTTATGTGGTGCTGAGGAATCGAACCCAGGGCCTCATGCATGCTAGGCAAGCACTCTACTACTGAGCCACTTTCCCAGCCCTGGTTTGTTTGTTTTTTAAGTAGTTTATTGGAGACAAGAATTTCACAGACCTTCCCACATAGGCTTCAAAGCACTAACCTCAGCCTCTTTAGTAACTAAGAGCCACCAGTGTCCAGCCATTCTCTCTTTTATCCTACACTGCTTTCATTTAATATAATCATAATTTATCTTTCTCTGTGATTGGCAAAGAAATGTACCCCCTTAGTGCATGGAAAGCCTTGTAATTCAGTGAGGATGGCCTTCATCTACTTCACTTCCTAAGTATCTGCCTCAGCCTCAGAGAACACTCATGCCCAAAGAAGGTCATGCCAATCCTGTGGCTGCCTTCATCTGATGACTGGGTGAGGCAGAAATAATAAAGGTCTGATTTGTTTTTTGTACCAATCCTAGGGATTGAACTCAGGGCCTGGGCACTGTCCCAGACCAGTGCCCAGAAGGTCTGACTTGTTTTTTAATTTTTGGTTGGTTGTGGGGCTTGAATTCCAGGCCTGGGTGCTGTCCCTCAGTTCTTCAGCTCAAGGCTAACACTCCACCATTTGAGCCACATCACCACTTCTGGTTTTCTGGTGGTTTATTGGAGATAAGAGTCTCACAGACTTTTCTGCCCAGGCTGTCTTTGAACCATGATCCTCAGATCTCAGTCTCCTGAGTAGCTAGGATTACAGGTGTTGTCACCAGCACCCAGCTGGTCTGACACTTTAATAAAGGTCCAATTTTGGCAAGACAGCTTGATGAGCAGTATTTTCGCTAGAGCTTCTTGTGAGGTTGCCTGGGTCTTTTTTGGATCTCCAGGGCAGTTTGGTTTTTTTTTTTCCTTCAGATCAGCCCTGCTTCCTCCCCTTAGTAAACATCCTGCACTTCAAATTCTCATCATCTGCTTCCAGAAAAAAAAACAAAAAACAAGCTTTCTAAACTTCTGTTTGCAAAAAACTCAATACATGTATCCATATGTGCACGTACCTCTTTCTCTTGAAACAGACATTTTCTCCATATTTTTCTTGTCTGGACTGTAGTGAGAGCCTTCATCTAAATGTTCTCCTTTCTCTGCTCATTCGATGCTTTAATTCACATCAGACTAAAAAAACGCAGATCTGATTATGTCATTGTTTTTATTTTTAATTTCCCTGTATGTAAACTTAAATTTGGAAATCTCAAAATGATATTTAAGGTTGTCCACATTGTCCCAACACAATTTCCCAATTTTATTTTTTGTCACTGCTCTCTTCCTAAATATGTTCTAGGTTTTTTTTATTTTAAAAGCATTTTATTCTGTGGTACTGGGATTAGAACTCAGGGATTCATACTTACTAGGCAGGTACCTTATCTCTTTGTGTGTGCATGTGAATTTTATTGTAAATGTGACGTATAAAGGGATTACAGTTACATAAGTCAAGTAATGAATACATTTCTTTTCAAACAGTGTCACCCCCTCCTTTCTTTCCTTTCCTTTCCTTTCCCTTCTCTTTCCTTCCTTCTTTCTTTCCTTTTTTCCTTCCTTCCTTCCTTCCTTTCTTTTTTTCCTTCTTTCTTTCCTTCTTTGTTTCGTCGGTCATGGGGCTTGGACCTGGGCCCTGTCCCTCAGCTCTTCAGCTCAAGGCGAGTACTCTACCACTTGAGCCACAGTACCACTTCCAGTTTTCTGGTGGTTAACTGGAGATATTAGTTTCACAGACTTTCCTGCCTGGGCTAGCTTTGAACATGATCCTCAGATCTCAGCTTCCTGAGAAGCGCCACCAGCGCATGCTGGTGCTTATGTTATCTCTTGAGTCACAACTCCAGCTCCTTTTTCTCTAGTTATTATTGTTGTTGTTGTTGCTATTGTTATTTTGCCAATACCTATGTTTGAACTCAGTTTGAACACATTCATGCAGTTTGCTTGCTTCGCTAGTACTCTACCACTTGAGCCATTCCTCGAGCCCAGCTTTGTGCTGGTTATTTTGGATATGAAGTTTCACAGACATTTCTGCCAAGACTGACTTCAAACCATTATCTTTCAGGTTTCAGACTCCTGAGTAACCACCAAGCCCAGCTTCTCTGGTTACATTTGGGATAGGTTCTTAATTTTTTACCTTACCAGCCTGGACCACAATTCTCTTATTTATATTTCCCAAAGTAGCTCTGATGACAGTTGTAAATCACTGTCTCAGCTTTTTCTGTTAATATGGATACTCCCAAGTTCTTTTGTCTGGCTTATCTCAAACCATTATATTCCCAATTTTAGCTTCTGGTATGGCTAGGATTACAGATGAATACCATCATGCTCAGCTAATGGTTTGAATGAACTTTTTGTCTAAGTTGGCCTTGAACATCTTATCTTACTAATCTCCATCTCCCAAATAGTTAGGATTACAGGCAAAGTCACTGGCATCTGGCAGGAAAGCTTTTTTTTTTTTTTTTTGGTCGGTTATGAGGCCTGAACTCTGGGCCTGGGCGCTGTCTCTCAACTCTTCAGCTCAAGGCAAGTGCTCTACCCCTTTGGCCAAAGCACCACTTCCAGCTTTTTCTGCTTATGTGGTGCTGAGGAACCGAACCCAGGGCTTCATGCATGCTAGGCAAGCATTCTACCACTGAGCCACCTTCCTAGCCCAGAAAGCTTATTTTTAAATGACCAAAGTAATACAACAATGACAACAA